CCAAATTCACTCAAAATAAACGACAAAAAGATTTATCTTAAAATTCCCTCAAATTCAATCTCTCAAATCCACTCAAAAAAAGAAAGCCTTAGTCTCTCAAAAGTTGACAATTAGTATTCGTATTAATAGTTTTAAGTGACTTATTAATGTTATAATATAATAAAAAACACTCCAAAAATAAGATTCCTAATACAAATATTATTAATTTATCTTAAAATAAATATTCGGAACTACAAATCATTATTCTAAACTTTGGAGTGTTAAAAGTTAAGGAAAAATAAATATTCGGAACTACAAGAATTTACATATTTTATAAAGACCAACAAGATTAATTTTAAATTTTACTAAAGTGAAAAATAAAGATAAAAACTTTATACCAAAATAAAAAAAGTCATAATTTTACAAAAATTAAACACATATTTAAATTTAAAGTATTATCAACAAATATTATAGTAACCATAATGAAGCTTGTTAAAATTAAAATTACTTAAATCATATTTTAGATTAAAAATATTAGATGACAAATTAAATGTACTAATCATCTTATATATGTTGAAAACCAATTGATAGAATTGTTTGACATACAAGTAAGTGTTTTTACAACTTAAAAGATTAGAAAACTAATATAAAGGATTGATAGTTTATATTATTAAATTTTTATAAAAGATTTTTCCTTCAAACAAGAAAACTTCTATATTAAAATTTTATTACTATTTAAGTCATATCTATTTTATTTTTCACATAAATTCGTTTAAATAGATCGAAAGCAGTTAGTAACATATTTTAGACAGTTAAAATATCAGTCAAAGCCACTAACCACACTTTTAGGTAAGGTGGTTATTATTATTTTGCTTATAAATACAGTGACAAGACCCAAGTCCAGGTACGTTCTCTTTATGCTCTAGAGATCCTGAATAATATTTCAGAGCAGTATCCACTTACTCTCTGTGAGAGCTTCAGCTCCATAAACTCACATGCTGACGTGAGGCGCGGAGTAATCTTTGCAGGTACTCGCCCCTCCTTTGGTGAATACGACGGACAACAGTTTGAAGAAAAATGCAAGGCATCCCGACATCCATGGAGCACCAGAGACACAACAGGAAAATGTACACCGAAACATTTTTGGCGTCCCACGTGGGCCGGAGTGCCAACCCAAAAGGAAAGCCACGAGAGGAACCTCGGCCTCTTGACCGAAACCCTTCTAAGGATTAAAGCACTACTGCCGCTCCTGCCAGGAATCTCCCTCCGCCGAGCCATTGGACGCCACCGGAGCACCTCTGGCGAATCGCGCCATTGAGCGCTCCTCCGCTAATCATCACAACCCTTTGCCAGGGAGAGAGAGAAAACTTACTTTCACTGCCTCTTTTAAATGTCGACCCCGCACCCGTCACCCCCCAGTGTTTCCCTTCCATTTGGGAGAAACACCAATTGTCTCCACATCCAAATTATAACAATAAAAAGAAAAAACGGGGTTGAGACTGATGCCAGGGGACTGTGACGCACGGAACTGTTATCTGGCTTCAACGATCTACCTCTTTGTCTTTGTCGTAACGTGGAAATCTTCGTCGAGAGGGCTGCCCGCCTTCATTCATCGCGGCTGCGAATATCAAACCACCAAATCTCCAATTCAAGAAACACCCAATACACAATAGAAATCCCTAATTGCATGTCTCCAAAAAATTCCAAAACAATCCCCAAAATCGGGTCCACCCCATCAACCTCCGTTCGCGCCACCAGGCACTGCTGCTTTGACAGAGCAACCGTTAAGGTCATCCCTATCATCCCATGATCCACAACATGCGCAAACCGAAACCCTAATTCCCAACTCGGGGACAAGCCATTCGGCGGCCCTCCAAGGAAGAAGAGAAACAACCGGCATTGCCAACTGATCGCAGACCCATTCCTCCACGTCTTCCGCAAACAATCGCGCCATCCACGGCGTGATTCGGTTCTTCCTCCACGTCATTCACACCCAAATTCTAAAATCCTACACTTCAACCATTCGGCAAATTCACGTCCATTCCGTCCTTTTTCCTGCCTCCTACGCTCGGACGTTCGGGACCTCGACGTCCCTGCTCCTTTATGCCGCTCGACGTTCGCCTCGACCGTCCTGCTCGACGCCTCGACGTTCGGGCTCGAAGTGTCCTGCTCCTACTGCTCGACGGCGCCCTCGACGTTTCTGGCTCTGTTGCAACTGGCTTCGCGTCGGGCCTCGACGTTTTATGCTCCTTACGCTCGACGTTCGGCCTCGAAGATCCTCCTCGCTCGGCGTGAACCTATCCGGTCCGGACGTTCACGAGCGTTCGGCCGTTCGACTGTCTTGCGTTCGCCGCATCGACGTTCGGCCTCGACGTTCATTGCTCCACGGCTATGAACGTTTCCTCGACGATCCTCTCCATGACGGTCGATGCGCTACGGGTTCCCGGTCTGCGCCTCCCTCGACTCGGCCGGTTTCCGTCTCGCACGCTTCGACGTTCGGCCTCGACGTTCCTGCTCCTACGCCTCGACGTTCGCCTCGGACGTTCCTGCTCCAACGCGCGACTTTCGGCCTCGACGTTCCGCTCGCACCTCGACGTTCGGCCTCGAGCGTTGTCCTGCTCGACGTCGACGTCGGCCTCGCCGACGTCCTGCGTCCTACGCTCGACGTTCGGCCTCGACGTTCAATGCCCAACAGCCAACGTTCGGCCTCGACGTTCCTGCTCGAACGTCTCGACGTCTCCTCGACGTTACTTGCTCGCACCGCGACAATCAGTGTGTGCAAGCGCCCAACAGCCAACGTTTCGTACTCGACGTTCACGTTCGTCCACTTTTTCATTATATCACCACCGAGTCAGTTCTCCTCAAAAACGTCACACACAAACCTCGCTACTTTCGGTCCTCGGACTTTCGTGCTCGAAATGGGGCTCGACAATCAGTGTGTACGAGGCGTCATAAAGACAACAAATGAAAAAAGTTACGGGAACCTCGTCGCAGATCGAGGATTTGAGCTCGGTACACAGGCGTCGGGTCAAAACATCATGTGAACCGTTCGGGTCATCCTTTCGCTTTCAACTCGCTCATCCCTCCGTTCGGTCTCTTACCGCTTCGACCTACATCAAAGAAAGCGGGCTCCACATCGGCCTCATTTAGCGTTCGGGTCATTTCTTAGCTGCAAACCGTTCGGCCAATCCTTCATTAAGGCTTCGCCATATTTTCCGCGGAAAGAGCATTCACCACTTCATCTCTTTGAGACGCTCCGGGGCCCAAGTGGGTCCAATCCGCCGCCATGTTTGCAATCGTGAACCCAAAACAGTCTCACCTATATGCTTAAATATTATTTCTTACAGGTGCAAAGAAAGGGATATAAACCATTACTTGTACCATAAAAGCGGACACGTTGAAAGCCGATCAATCTGAAAGTTACTTTCTAAACCCAGCGGAGATGTGTCGCCCAGAAGAACACCACGTGCAGAAAGGGATTACACTCCCCTGGCCGATTGTTCGCCCTTTATAACACCCCAGGTGCATCCGAACAAACACATGCATAAAGGGGATACCTCCCGCTGGCCGATGTCGCCTTTCCTTCCTAGAACACCAGGTGCATCGAACAACACATGCAATAAAGGATACAACCCGCTTGGCCGACTGTTCGCCCTTTGTTAAATAGAACACCCAGGTGCATCGAACCAACACTTGGCACTAAAGGGATACACTTCCCGGCCTGGGGCCGATTGTCCCTAGTTCTTAGAAACACCCAGGTCATCGAACAAAGGGGACACATCCCGTTGGTGAGATGGTCGCCCCAGAACCCAGGAACATCAAACCGCTGGTCGAATCCTGGGCACGAGCGTTCAGCATGTCCGCGTTCGGCGCCTCAAACGATTTCGCCCTTTTGGTTTTCCCAAACCGCTCGACAATCCATGTACGAGCGTTCAAGCAGTCGGCCGTTCGCCTCCCTGTGGGTTTCAAAACCGGGCTCGCCAACTCTGTGTATGTAGCGGTCATTCAGTCAGTCGGTACAGCGTCAACGCGCTCGGAACCATCAAACGGGCGCTACAATCAAATGGTCAACGAGCGGTGCCACTCATCAGCGTTCGAACATCGCCTCAACGCTTCGCAATCAAATGTCAACAGCGTCCACCCCAGTCAGCGTTCGAACCTCAAACGCTGCGACATCAAAATGCAACAATCGCCCACTCGGTTTCAACGGTCGACCTCAAGCTCACAATCAAATGCACGGTCAACCGAGCGTCCAACATCGCTGGCGACATTTGCCGTTTCAACGAGCGTTCCACAATAAAGCGCTCACCAATCCGATTTCCACGAGCGGTTCAAACATCGCTCGACATTCATTGATTAAAAGGTAGCACTCAAAGAAGTTGAAGGTGGCCGTTCGCTGCCTCAAAATTTGGTTCAAACCTTGTTTGTGTTTTTTGCTCGTTTCGTTCTCTGCGCCCCTTTGCGGGTCCATCAATGCCTGACTTGGGCAACACGCTCCGAGTCAAACTAATACTACAACGAATGACCGCCTCCATTCAAACTCATTAAGTCCTAAGATTCCACGTCATAAAAACGGAACGGTTAAATAACTCGGACTTGGGGGGGCATGTTATGTAGTAAGGATATTTATGTAATAACATAAATATCTTAGATATTTTAGACAGTTAAAATATCAGTCAAAGCCACTAACCACACTTTTAGGTAAGGTGGTTATTATTATTTTGCTTATAAATACAGTGACAGGACCCAAGTCCAGGTACGTTCTCTTTATGCTCTAGAGATCCTGAATAATATTTCAGAGCAGTATCCAATTACTCTCTTGAGAGCTTCAGCTCCATAACTCACATCTGACTTGAGCGTCGGAGTATCTTTGCAGGTACCTCCCCCTCCTTTGGTGAATACGAAGGACAACAGTTGAAGAAATGCAAGCATCCCAGACATCCAGGAGCAACAGAGACACACAGGAAAATGTACACCGAAACATAAACTAAATGTAAATGAAGCAAAAAAAAAAAGTAAAATATCTAATAATAATTTTATTTATTTATACATGAATAACACAGTTTTTTTTTTCAAAATTATTTAGAAGAAAGTTGTATGCCATGTCACACTCTGCAATCACTGTAGAGTGCTGACTTCAACTTCTACATCTTGGGACAAATCAAATAAAGCCATTTATGCCGCCCACATACATGATGATATACTACGATGTTGTCCCGTGGTCTAATATTGTTTGGTTCTGCAACTATTACCCTCAGATTGCGATATTATTACATAAACAACATGCTTCCTTCTTCTTCGTTTTATTCATCATTAATCTCGATTGCGTCTCATATCTAAACTCGTTCGTTGGAAGAATCTAAAACCATGTTCTCTATCCTTTGCCTCGTCTCTCTCTCAGAAACCGAAGCTTTCTCTGCTCTGCTTCTAGAGTATGCCTCGAAAAACTCCTTGTTCTCCTTCTCTAACTCCTTCCAAACTGCTTCCATCACATGCATGCATGTGTCATTCACATGTCTCAAGTAAAATACAGCATAAAACAACAAAACAGATAAACCATATATATAATAGATTTTCACATACTTTCTTCATATTTTTATATGCAGATGCATATATATGCGTACTGTTACCAAATTAACACGTTAATTATTTAGTCAAATAAACAGTGACAGTGGCTGTTGTCTAGAAGTTATAATAGACTAAACGAATTAGTTAATTTAAAAGCACAGTTTCCAAATATTATAATTTATTAATTTCATTAGCTTGAAAAAAAAAACTAGTGAAATTATTAGAATGAATTTACCGGTGGAAGTAATAACAGGCTTGATATTTGCATGCTTAGAAAGAGCTTCCATGCACTCTTCTTTGTTCATGTTGAACAAGATACACTCCTCTATCAGACGGTGCACCTGAACATATATATTTGATCATCAGAACTTACACATGCAACCAGAGAAAACAAAAGAAAGGACTGAGAATATTTGAAAGATCTTTTTTTTTTCTTTTTTCAGAAATTAACAACAGTTTGGGAGATAAATGAATAAATAAACGGGAAAGTAAATTGAAACTGACCAGACGGATATAAGCAGCAGAGGAAGAGTCTTCCATGGGTGTTGATCGATTTTGTTAGGGTTGGATTCTCTGGTTGTAAATGATGTGATGAGTTAGTATAAATAAAGTTATGTTATATAGTCCAAAGTAATATGATTAGAAGAGAAGGAGGAAGAGATGGTGGAACGAGCAGAAAGGGCAGAGAGAAGATGAGAAAAAAGAGAGAAAGGACAAGAAAAGATGAGGAAAAAGAGAAAGGCAAAGATGAAAGAAAAATGAGAAAGGTAGGTTTATAAGAAGGTGGTTCGGTGCAGTGATAATAAAAGAATACTAATAAGCATGGCATGATGGTAGGGAAAGAGGGATATAAAAAAGAGAAAGATTAGACAAAGAGGGCACGACACAAACATAAACAAATGAATATGAATAGGATGAGTGTCAGGCAGCTGGGGTGGGACCCACCGGACCACGTGGGAGGAAAACCAGGATTGGTTGAGAGAAGATTAGAGGAGATTCTACATTGAATGAAGAGCACCAAACGCCGTTGTTGGCATATTACGTGGCAGTGGGACCCTCTTCACGTGAAATGTGGGACCCAAGATCCTTATGTCTTTCCAAAGTGGCACTGGTAGGGCCACTCAATGCATGCATGTATGTACCATACTCTAACCATGTGTTGGACGCTTCTTTTTTCTAAAATATTGTTGTATTGGTGTCTTCAATCAATGCTACGTTGGAAATAGAATAATTATTCAGAGGGTAAAGTTATTCCTTCATTATTCACTTCAATTAATATATACATACACACACACACACACACATATATATATATATATATATATATATATTGTCTCT